CCCCTAAAACCTAAACCCTAGTCCCTAAACCCTAGTCCCTAAACCTTAAACCCCTAAACCCTAAACCCTAAACCCTAAACCCTAAACCCCTAAACCCCTAAACCCGAAACCCCTAAACCCTAGATCTTAGTCCCTTAACCCTAATCTCTAAACCCTAAACCCCGACGGGGGAGCCCATTCTTCGACCCCAGGTCTCTGGGTTTTGGGATATCGGGCTTAGCATCTTCTGGGCAGGTTTAGGGTTTAGGGTTTAGGGGTTTAGGGTTTAGGGGTTTGGGTTTAGGGTTTAGGGTGTAGGGGAGGGTTTAGGGGTTAGGGTTTGGGGTTTAGGGTGACCCATAGTGGGCTCTTTTTCCTTTTTGTGGCCCTAGGTTCCTTACACAAGTTGACCAATACGAAGAAGGGAGCCCTTTTCAATTCCAAGGTTATTGGGAATCTGGTAGAGTGACTAGAACACTCGTTCTAATCCCGACAAGGGCGGTGAGGAAGACATGGCAAGGGTTATCATCAGAGGCTTGGTTCTTTGTAGTGGCAACCTTATGCATGGCAATGAGAACCGTCCTGATAAACATGCCACTCTCCAGGCAAATAACGGTAGTCGTCGCAATAGCACAGCCCTAAACCCCAGACAGAAGACCGAAGACCGTCGCAAGAACAGCAAAACCTGAAGCCTAAACTCACACCCCTCTCAGCAGAATAAGATGACGCCTGAAGGTCATATCGCCGACAATAACCTGTGTCCGTCCTCCTTGTCGTCCTCCCTCTCTCCGCCTCTTCCTCCTGCTCATGCTCCGCCGGTTTAGGGTTCAGGGATTTGGGTTTTACCGGTATTGTTATCGCCTTATCGTCATGTTCAGAATCACAGCCCTAAGCCAAATATCACAACCTAAACTACACCCAAAAGCTGCAAGCTACTGAGGAAGAGGAGAAGAAAACCAAAGGGCCAGGACTGGAGAAGAACGAAGCTTGCTGCAAGAAGATTGGTCCTTTGGTGGTTCAGGGCTTAAGCCCCAGGCCCCAACCAAAGTCTTAATTTCGACACAGTACGTACCTCGATAGTTGTGTGTTGGGCAGGAGGTGTGGGAAGAACTCCTGAGCGTACCTGCTTCAGCAACTTGGGGTTCAGGGTTTAGGGGTTCAGGGTTTAGGGGTTTAGGGTGTCAGGGGTTTAGGGGTTTTGGGTGTTATGGGATTAGGGGTTTAGGTTTTAGGGTTTACGGGTTTAGGGGTTTAGGGTTTAGGGGTTTAGGGCTAGCCCCAAAGAGGCTAACCTTTCAAGTTAGAATAGGGTTATCTAATAGCTTCAAAAACGTTAAAGGTTACCTACGCAG